TCAAGAAAAGTAAGAAGAGCAGATGAAATTAGATTTAATAATAGAGTTCAGCTTATTCAATATCCAGAATGCAATCCTCTCAACATAAACTGAAGGTGAGCATTGTTAAGGAGCTACTTCATGTCCTGCATATGCTGCCGTTGAAATTGGGCACATAGTTTTGCACTTACAACACAGCTGAGGGTAGTCCCATTCACACACGCAACAGCCACATGGGACTAGTGGCTATTGCACTGGACAGGGCCGATGAAGTCTCTTTGTAAGTGGTTTGCATAGTTACAGGGATGAGGTAGTCTGGCCCCATCTTTGATCTCCAATCAGAAACCAATGCCCACATAACAGCCCTGTGTGTCTCAGAGCTGAACTCCACCTGGTTTTCTTGGCCACAGTTTGCCAGGCCTTTCTTCCACAGAGTTGCTGCGTTGAAGCTCCTTGGAAGTGAGGATGGTGAGACTTCATCTCATGCATTTTGGTCATGTTGTCAGGAGGGACCAGACTCTGGAGAAGGCCATCATGCTTGGTGAAGTCGAAGGTCACCGAGAAAGAGGAAGAGCCTCCTGAGATGGAGTGCCCCAGTGGCTGCCACGTGGCTGCTCGAGCATCGGAGTGATTGTGAGGATGGGGCAGGACCAGGCAGTGTTTCCATCTGTTGTGCACGGGGGCACTGTGAGCTGGAAGTGACTCAACAACACCTAACAACAGAGGCGCCCCATGGCCTGACTTACTCAGCCCAGCTGGGGAGGAAAGCTTCATTTGCCTTTGGTCGACAGAGATAAGATCATTCCAAGCCCTCTTGCTCCATCAGTCGCAGCCTATCTGTGTCTCATCCTTTCTCAGGAGTGAGCCACAAACCCCAAAGTCTTTGCTGTGAAGTGAGTTCCAGGTCCTGGTGACCCCGTGTGTGCAGAGTAGAACTGCTCCGTAGGATTTTCAAGGCTGGGACCCCTCAGAAGCAGGTCATCAGGGCTTTTTTCTGAGGTGTATTGGGTGGGTTGAATTGCCCACCTTTCAGTTGGTTGTCGAGAGCTTAACTCCAAGCTCACGGTGCACCTTCGGTGTTGTTTGCTGTGACTGAGTGAGGGAGTGTCCTACATCTACAGGCTATGCCAACAAAGCTCATACCTTGAGTTTTTTCTTGTTTATGGCTAATTTTAAACACCTTCAATGGACGGTGGCTTTGTGACTTTGTAAACTATCACATGCAAATCTAAATGAGGACTTCAAAAGGAATTATCACCTCCACACGTTAGAAAGGGTCGCCCGGTTGTCAGAGGATGTCTGGATTTTCTTGCAGCGTTCAGAAGTGCTGCCCTGTTCTCCTTTGATTTCTCAGTCTGGGTGGCCTCCACACTTCTGCCCGCATGCACTGCAACGTAGGGAAATGGTGTCTGCACAGTTGGAAGAAAATGTCAGTTCACTGCCCTTGCCGCCGTCGCCACCTCTAACGCGGTCCTGCTGCAGAACTGAAAGGCTGCTCACAATGCACTTTGTTGGTCCACGTACAGGGGCCCGAGCAGCAGATGGGCAGGGGCAGCGGTGACCAGCGGCTGCTGTCGCCTGGCCCTCAGGACCAAGCCACGAGGGGACCTGGACTTCTGGGTTGTCAGCTGCTCCTCCTGATGCAAAGGAAGGTGATTCTGCAAACAAGAAAGACGATTTTGCCCCATCCGGGCAGCTTTCTTTAGTTCTGGTGGAAGTTCCGTGTGGCATAGCAATTAATGATGTAATGGGAGGTGGGCTGCAAACCAAAAGTCGGTGGTTCAAACCTACCAGCTGCTCCATGGGAGAA